TGTACCCCCTCACCTGATTTTTGACCCCAGTTCAACTGCAGTCCTGATCTCCAACCCCCCGCCACACTTCCTCACGCTCGCTCTCTTCTGTGTCACTCTCTCCCTCCCCCTCCTTCTCTTACCCCTCCTCACTCCCTCTCCTCCCCCTCCTTCTCTTACCCCTCCTCCCTCCCTCTCCTCCCCCCTCTCTCCTCCCCCTTCCCCCTCGTAAAAGATTTACAAGGAGGTTGGAGGGTTCGAGCTACAGGGAGAGGCTGGGGGCTGTTTTCCCCGGAGGCCGAGGGGGTGACCTTATAGAGGTTTATAAAACCATGAGGGGACATGGATAGGGTGAATAGACAAGGTCTTTACCCCCCAGAGTTTTGGGGGGGAGGTGGCCAAAACTAGAGGGGCGTAGGTTTAAGGTGAGAGGGGGAAAGGGACCGGAGGGGGTAACTTTTTCACACAGAGGGTGGTGCGTGTGTGGAACGAGCTGCCAGAGGAAGTGGGTGGGGGGCTGGTACAGTCTCAACATTTAAAAGGCATCTGGATGGGGACATGGAGAGGAAGGGGTTAGAGGGATATGGGGCCAAACGCTGGCAAATGGGGACTGGGTTAAGTTAGGATATCTGGGTCAGCACGGACGTGTTGGGCCGAAGGGTCTGTTTCCGTGCCGCACAGCTCTGTGAAGCTATATTCTACGCCCCAGCTAATGAGGGCAACCATCCATATCCGCTTTGCACCCCCTCGTTCAGGGATCTTCAGGGATCTATGGACTCGTACACCAGGTTCGTTGTGTATACTCGACCGTTATTAGAATCCCCCCCCACCCCCTCCTCTCCCAAAAAGCATCACCTCGCAATTATCAGGATTAAACTCCATCTGCCATCGCTCTGCCCAATTTACCACAGAGTCGCGCGGCGCGGGAACAGACCCTTCGGCCCATCCAGTCCGCGCCGTCCCACGCCGAGCCAGTCCCCACACACCCTCCTGCTCCCGGCCCCATTATCCCTCCAAACCTTTCCCCTGTCCGTGTCCTTATCCCAATGTCCTTTTAAACGCTGTAACTGCACCCACACCCACTGCTACCCCGTTCCACACACGCACCACCCTCTGTGTGAAAATATTTACCCCTCGTGTCCTTTTTTAAATCTCTCTCCCCTC